GCTGCAGGTTTGACGCTGACTGTCCTACCTGGAACATGGACGTGTGTCTCTCTGCTCTGGTTCATGTCCTTCTGTTGGACTCTGCAGGTGAAGTTGTTCTTGTGTCTTTTCTCCACAGTAACTCTGCTGCTGACAGAATACAGACCATCAGGACCTCTGCTGGTCTCTGGAGGTCCAGCAGGGAGGACGTTCCCCTCCCCGTCCAACCAGAAGAGCTGCGGTTCTGGAAACCAGCCTGCAGACTTACAGTCCAACATCACCCCACTGCTGCCTTCATCAAATCCTGATAAACTGATCCCAGCTGAGGAAACTGAACCTGAGGAAAACAGGAGGCTTCAAAACAGGAACCATGTGTCCTTGGAAACATTCAGAACCTGCTCAGAGTCCAAAACACTGATCATCACTCAGAGACCTGCTCAGATTAAAGGACACACCAAGACTCCGGTAGTTACTGTCAAATGTGTCTCCTGTCACATCAGTTCCATAAACTAGTTCTTCAGGTTAAATATATGTTTTTTTTATTATTTTATCGATGGTGGAGGGACTTCTGTTGTGATGTAATCAGTTAAGTATTTGCCAGGGTTCTGCATTTGGACCAATCTCAATTTGGACAAACAAACAAACAAACAAGCAAGCCAAGTTATTCTAGGAGTAAAGCTGACAGCTTTTTAGAGTAAATCCTTTTAAACAGTGAGTTTCCTCCATCTAAATCACTCGTGGATTCACTTGTTTGACCTGGTTGACAACTGCCGGCCCTAACGTGGTGCTACAGCGCGCAGCACAGAGGTGTCTCCCCCTCCTCCCCCATGAGCATCCTGCCAAGGTGGGGGCCTCAGAGAAACTCTGCGCTGTGTGGAGTTGTTGGAGGTAACCAGGAAAACCTGGAGTGGACTTTTAGTGGTTTGAGTATTCTCCTGTTAATGAAGTGGAATGGATTCATTCACGAAGAAAGAAAGCGCTGGGTGAACTGATATTTCATGGTAAATGTTTATTTGTGGGGTTTTTTTTCTGTTTCCAAATTATAGTTGCAGTCAGGCCTAAAAATACGATCTGACCCGGCCCCAACCTGTAGCCATTTTTTCCAAACCCGACCGACCCATCAGATTAACTGTAATTACAGGCCCGTGTCATGGTCAGCGGCCCCCGCTGGCCCCCCCATCTGCTCACTTCCCTGCCCCTTCATGTCATGCCATGTCTTCTGCCCCTCTCCTTCATGTTTTGTTGATCCTTCAGCTCCTGTCAATCTGCACTTCAAGTCTGCTCATGGCACTTCTCTGTCACCACGCCCCCTCAGCTGATTCACACCAATCAACCTTCATGTCTCTATTTAAGCTCCATGCTCACTCTCCACCGGTGCGAGATCATTACACCACTCATGGTCCCTGATAGTGAAGCCTTCGATCACAGTATCTTGTAACCTTGCCTTGTCTTGCCTTGAACCCTCGCCTGTTTTTGACTCCTCTCGTTGCCTACCCCTCTTGGATTTGTTTGCCTCTCCGGCCACGGTATCGGACCCTGTTTCCTCTACTAGACCACGCTTCACGGATTACGTTTTTGGGTTTTGCATCTGGACCTCTGCCTTCCTGTTCATGACCCCTGCTCTGACAACCGGACCCGTTA